CAGAACAAAATAGTTTCTCATTTAACAGTTACTACACATGTTGCCCTATGACAATGGTTAACAATTTCACAACACATCAACAATATCCTTACTCAATCTTGGGTTCCCTATAGGCTTTGTAATTTTTTTTGAGAACTGGACATTCTGGGTATTATAATGTGGTAGCTTTGGAAAGCTGATTCTCCCACTCCTCAGGGGTTGCTGCTGTTACTTAATGAAGGCTGCAGTCACCTTTTTTTAATGATTTTTTCCAAAGTGTTTTCAGAGTATGTGTTCTACCTGTGTGTGGTGACTGAAGGTTCTGTTCCATTATCTCTGCAGTCAGCCAGTGTCCTGACAGATTTCACAAACAAAGCCCACGCTGGCTCTTTAAGCTGCCACCACAAGAGGGCCCTGCTGTAGGGGGGCTGAGACTGCGGCAGGTGTCCAGACCAACCCAAGTGTACAACCTAAATCCTCAGAACAAAGCCCCACTGCCCGCCCAGCGGTGGCCATCCCCACCACTGTGGCAGGGCTGAGGAATGAGATGTACTGGTTGGGGTGTGTGGCTTGCCAGGAAAGATCAGCAGCCTGTCCTTCTGTGAAGCACCTCCCTGGTTGCTTTGTGTCAGATTAGGTTCCAGAGTTCCCCAATGGCTGGTCCTATTGCTCTTTGGAGTTCACTTGTGGTGGCAGGGGAGGGGCCGGCTCAGGGCTCCCCTGCCGACTTCCTCGAGCCTCGTTCTAGGTTCAGCGTTTGGACGTGAGCCCATCATGAGGGCAGGCACTGGCTGCTCACTGGGAGGCTCAGAGCAGCACTGGAGGCTGTTGGGTGTTGGTGTGTGGATAGATGTGAGCCCCCACTTGCGTGCTGTGGAGAGAGCGCGGAGAGGAGCACTAACTGGCCTTTGTGGCCCAGGTGGCTTCACAGAGCCCAGGTGTGAAGCCGGTTTCCTGCTGGCAAAGGAGTCTGAGTAACGGGGGTAGTGTGCCAGGCTAGCTTTGAATGAAGCAAGTGAAAGGGTTCCGCTCGCGGTGCTCCTTGCACGCCTGTGTGTTCCCCACCTGTAGACAGGAAGAGGCCCCGCTTCCCGGAGGGCCTGCGCGCGCTCAACCCCCACGACCCTCCTGGCCCAGGGTATGGCCGACTCATTCTGGTGTAGGTCGGTGCCTGCTTCTGCCACCAGGCCTCTTCTTGCCGGCAGAGGGCCTGCAGGCTGGCCATCAGGGAGGCTCCTGCTGGGCATGGGTCTCAGGCGTCTGCTGCAGCGGGCGGAGGTGGTGGTGTGAGCCCCAAGCGTGGTGAGGCCCCCAGCATGGTGAGCCCCGAGTGTGGCGAGCCCCAAGCACGGCCAGGCCCGAGAGTGGCAAGGCCCCCAGCATGGTGAGGCCCCCAGCGTGGTGAGCCCCGAGCGTGGCGAAGCCGAAGTGTGGTGAGCCCCGAGTGTGTGGCCAGGCCCCAGAGTGGCCAGGCCCGAGTGTGGCGAGCTCTGAGCGTGGCAAGTCCCCAGCATGGCGAGCCCCCCAGCGTGGTGAGCCCCCCAGCATGGCCGTGGCCCCAGCGTGGCGAGGCCAGTGGGATGACGAGTGACTGTGTTCTCGGGCCCAGGCAGGCGCTGGTCGAGCACTACAGCCGGCTGTCGGCGGAGGCGGCGCGCCGGGAGCAGAAGGCTCTGTGGAGGCTACAGAGGCGCAGGCTGGGTGAGGCGCGGCGCCGCTTCCTCCTGGCGGATCAGACCCGCCTGCAGGTACCCGCCCGGCTGGCGGCGCTGACTGCAGTGGGCCCTGGGCGTGGGTGGCAGTTACCTCGGCTTCTCAGAAATACCTTGTGGCTGCCGTGCTGGGCGGATGAAGAGGGTAGGTGTGCTGTGCTTGCCGAGCGCTTGCCGGGTGCTCGGGCTCCATGTTGATTCCTGCGGCATCTGAGGCCAGTGCTGAGGAGGGCGAGGATGGGTGGGGTGGGCCCCAGTTCTGCCTGTGTGGGCTCCCCCATGGGCACTATCTCCCGGCCTGCTGGCTTTGATTCCAGGAGCTGCTGAAGGCCATGTCTGAGGGGATGTGCTCGCAGGTGCTGGATGAGCTCCCGTGTGCTGAGCACTTGCTTGGGACAGGGGTGGCCCTTCCTCAGGTGAGGGGTTGGCGGGAGAGGCTCCTGATGGGTCTAGGGGCCTGGGCCTCCTTGTCTCCAAGGTGCCTGATGTTTGGCAGCCACCAGGCATGCACCACCCCAGGGGTGTGGGCAAGTGCCGGGCCTGCTGTCCCACAGAGCTCGTCACCTGGGGGTGGGGGTTACCTGCTGTCCCACAGAGCTCGTCACCTGGGGGTGGGGGTTACCTGCAGTCCCACAGAGCTCGTCACCTGGTGGTGGGGGTTACTTGCTGTGCCTCAGAGCTCGTCACCTGGGGGTGGGGGTTACCTGCTGTCCCACAGAGCTCGTCACCTGGGGGTGGGGGTTACCTGCTGTCCCTCAGAGCTCGTCACCTGGGGGTGGGGGTTACCTGCTGTGCCTCAGCTCGTCACCTGGGGGTGGGGGTTACCTGCTGTCCCTCAGAGCTCGTCACCTGGGGGTGGGGGTTACCTGCTGTCCCACAGAGCTCATCACCTGGGGGTGGGGGTTACCTGCTGTCCCTCAGAGCTCGTCACCTGGGGGTGGGGGTTACCTGCAGTCCCACAGAGCTTATCACCTGGGGGTGGGGGTTACCTGCTGTCCCTCAGAGCTCGTCACCTGGGGGTGGGGGTTACCTGCAGTCCCACAGAGCTCGTCACCTGGTGGTGGGGGTTACCTGCTGTGCCTCAGAGCTCGTCACCTGGTGGTGGGGGTTACCTGCTGTCCCTCAGAGCTTGTCACCTGGCGGTGGGGTTACCTGCTGTCCCTCAGAGCTCGTCACCTGGGGGTAGGGGTTACCTGCTGTCCCTCAGAGCTTGTCACCTGAGGGTGGGGGTTAGATAACCGGGTGGAGAAGGTGAGACAAGACCCTGTCCTGTGTGTACTTGTGTTCCAGGCCCCGTCCCCAGATGTGGAGCCCCCAGGTGGAGGCCAAGGCCGTGATCCCTCACCTGCAGAAGAGCATGGGGTTGTCCCAACACCCTGGCCCCGGGGGTCTCCTGCAGTGGGGGCTGAACCTCTCTCTGCTGACCTCAGCATGCAGGACTTCCTGCCCACAGGCCTGGGGGTGGAGCAGCCTGCAGAGCCCAGTGTAGCCTGTGTTCCAGGGGGGGCTCCTCTCTTGGGGGAAGCCCATGTTTTAGGGGAGGCCCCTTTCCCAGGGGAGGCCCCTCTGCTGGAGCAGGCTCTGTGGACCGTCAGCTCAGACCTGCCTTCCCTGACTCCAGAGGAGGTGCCCGCAGCAGCCGGCACACAGCCCCCCCAGGTGCAAGAGTACGATTTTAGTACCATCCTGAGGCCGGCTGTGGCTGCCTTGGCCCGTCTGGAATCCCTCCAAGCTGCAGAGGGTGACTCAGGCAGCGAGGGGCCACAGCTGCAATGGCACACGAAGCTGGATGCCTGGGTCCCTGAAGTGCCGGCGGCTCTGCCTCACCCATCCTCACCCAGGCCTGGGCCTGCCAATGAGGGGAGCACCGGGCCCCAGGATCAGCTTCTTAGGCACGTGTCTGAAGGCAGTGTTCCCTCAGTGGGTCATGCTTCTGAAACAGCTCCCTCCCGGCCACGGTGGAGCATCCACAGCCACGTGTCGGATGCTAACATCAAGATTGGGGAGAATGTCTCAGATGTAGCTCCCTCCCGGCCACGGTGGAGTATCCACGGCCATGTGTCTGATGCCAGTGTCAGGATTGGGGAGAATGTCTCGAACGCGGCTCCCTCCCGGCCACGATGGAGCATCCACAGCCATGTGTCTGATGCCAGTGTCCGGATTGGGGAGAACGCCTCGAACGCGGCCCCCTCCCGGCCACGGTGGAGTGTTCACGGCCACGTGTCTGATGCCAACATCAGGGTTGGGGAGAACGTCTCGGATGTAGCCCCCTCCCGGCCACGGTGGAGTGTTCACGGTCACGTGTCTGATGCCAACATCAGGGTTGGGGAGAACGTCTCGGATGTAGCCCCCTCCCGGCCACGGTGGAGCATCCATGGCCACGTGTCTGATGCCAACATCTTGGTTGGGGAGAATGTCTCAGACGTGGTCCCCTCCCGGCCACGGTGGAGCATCCATGGCCACGTGTCTGATGCCAGCATCAAGTTTGGGGAGAATGTCTTGGACGCAGCCCCGTCCCGCCCACAGGGGAGTGTCCACACCTCCCAGCCCCACACGATGCTGGGTGTGCTCTTGGAGGAAGCAGAGCCTGAGATGTCCGGGCCCCACCTGAGCCCTTCTGGCCACATGGTCCAGTCAGACCTGGGAGCACAGAGCCCCTCCTCGGAACGTGAGCCACATCCGCCTGCAGAGACAACACCAGGGCCCTTGGACCCCTCCCTAGCTCCGGTGGCCACCTCGGGCCGTGCAGAGGAGGGTGGCCTCCGGGCTGAGCCCTGTGCTGCGACCAGGCCCGGCGCCCCCGAGGAGCAGGGTTCTGAGGGTGAGCCAGGTCAGAGGGGTGGTCACAGGCTGAGGCCATGTCCCTTGTGGGGTCTGCCGGCCCCGGGCGGGCAGAGTGGGAGGAGGGCAAGTGAAGCTGCCTCTTGGCCCACATCTGCCAGCCTGGCTGAGCAGGTGTATGGCCCTGATGCCCCCTCCCTGCCCTATTGTGCCTGATCAGGCCCCAGGAGCAGTGGCAATAGCAGCGCCCCCTCTCCAGGTCGGCCCTCAAGTCCACAGGTGAGGGCAGGTGCAGCTGTGGGTGGGGAACACGCTGGGCTGGCTCCCCACCTAGCCTCGGGTCAGTGGGTGTGATGGGTCGTGTGGCTGCGTGGTGGGTGGTGGTCTCAGGTTGGCTTCCCTTTAGGCAGGTGAGGCTGCCCAGGGTAGCCCAGGACCTGGTGAGGGCAGGGAGGAAGGGGCCTACCTGGAGAGCCTGGCAGCACGGTACCGCCTGGAACAGTACCCCGACAGCTACCAGGCCATGTGTGAGTGGACCTGCTGGGCTGCGCGGGGGGGCTGGGGTGTCCCCCGAGGGCCCAGGTGTCCCTAGTGAGGCCTAGGCGTCCCCCGAGGACCCAGGTGCCCCCAGAGAGGCCTAGGGGTCCCTAGGGGGGCTGGCGTGTCCCCAGAGGGCCCAGGTGTCCCTAGAGAGGCCTAGGTGTCCCCCGAGGGCCCAGGTGTCCCTTGAGAGGCCTAGGCGTCCCCCGAGGACCCAGGTGTCCCTTGAGAGGCCTAGGTGTCCCCTGAGGACCCAGGTGTCCCCAGAGGGGCTGGTGTGTCCCCTGAGGGCCCAGGTGTCCCTAGAGAGGCCTAGGTGTCCCCTGAGGACCCAGGTGTCCCCAGAGAGGCCTAGGTGTCCCTAGGGGGGCTGGTGTGTCCCCAGAGGGCTCAGGTGTCCCTAGTGAGGCCTAGGCGTCCCCCGAGGACCCAGGTGTCCCCAGAGGGGCTGGGGTGTCCCCTGAGGGCCCAGGTGTCCCTAGGGGGGCTGGGGTGTCCTCAGAGGGCCCAGGTGTCCCCAGAGGGGCTGGTGTGTCCTCAGAGGGCCCAGGTGTCCCTAGTGAGGCCTAGGCATCCCCCGAAGACCCAGGTGTCCCTAGGGGGGCTGGGGTGTCCCCCGAGGGCCAGCACTATCTGTTCTTGCAGCAGAGCCTCCGGCCGCCCACCTCCTGCCCCATGTGCTGCCTCGCTCCTCCTCCTTCCCCGCGGACCCTCAGACCCAGCCTGGCACAGATGAGACTGCAGTGCAGCTGAGCGAGCTGCTGACCCTGCCCGTCCTCCTTAAGCACTCCATCTCCGCCCCGTTGGCTGCCCAGTGAGTGCCCCTGCCCCGTCCCCTGCCGTCCACAGTCCACATCTGACTGCAGCCGCCCCCTGCCCCCCACAGTGTCTCCCTGGTGAACAAGGCTGCTGTGGACTACTTCTTCGTGGAGCTCCACCTGGAGACGCACCTGGAGGCCCTGCGGCACTTCGTGCTGATGGAGGATGGCGAGTTCGCCCAGTCTCTCAGTGACCTGCTCTTTGAGAAGGTGACGCCCTCGTGCTGCTGGGTCTGGAGGCGAGGTCAGGGGCACAGGGAGCAGCCCGGAGCCAGGCCTGGGGAGCCTGGGACGCAGGGCCTGGGGCACAGGTGCAGCCCCGAGTGGCATGTTTGGGGCCATTCTGGATGCCGCTGTCTCTGCAGCTGGGGTCGGGGCAGACGCCCGGGGAACTCCTCAGCCCGCTGGCCCTGGGCTCTGTGCTGAGCAAGGCCCTGCAGTACAGCCTCCACGGGGACAGCCCCCTCGCCGCCAACCTCTCCTTTGCCCTCAAGTTCCTGCCTGAGGTGTTCAGCCCCAACACCCCCGATGTGCTGAGCTGTCTGGAGCTCAGGTACAAGGTCAGCGCTCGGCCTGCTGCAGCTGGGGCGGGGGGCGGCGGGTGGCGAGGCGGCGGGGCTGAGCCACTGCCCCTGCAGGTCGACTGGCCCCTCAACATAGTCATCACTGAGAGCTGCCTGAACAGGTATGGCCGCATCTTCTCCTTCCTGCTGCAGCTGAAGCTCATGACGTGGACACTGAAGGACGTCTACAGCCACTTCAAGCGCACAGGTGGGCCCCCCGGTCCCTGACTTGGGTCCCCTTTCCACTCACCCTGCTTCCTCCCATCGCTCGCTCACCCCACCATCCCCCCCAGCACTGGTGAGCCAGGCGGCAGGCTCGGTGCAGTTCCGCCAGCTGCAGCTGTTCAAGCACGAAATGCAGCACTTCGTGAAGGTCATCCAGGGCTATATCGCCAACCAGATCTTGCATGTCACATGGTGTGAGTTCAGGAACAAGCTGGCCACCGTGAGCACCCTGGAGGAGGTCCAGCGGGCCCATGCTGAGTATCTCAACAAAGCTGTCTTCCGGTGAGGCCGTGGGCACTCTGGGACACCCTGGGACACCCCCCAGGCCTATGACGGGCAGCAGGGCCAGGCCACAGAGTGCAGGTGGGGGCAAGGGCACCCCTAGCCGGCCTGCGAGTGCCAACCCCTCCCACAGGGGCCTGCTGACAGAGAAGGCTGCACCTGTCATGAACGTCATCCACAGCATCTTCAGCCTGGTCCTCAAGTTCCGCAGCCAGCTCATCTCCCAGGCCTGGGGCCCCGCTGCCCGCCCCCGGGGTGCTGAGCACCCCAACTTTGCCCTCATGCAGCAGTCTTACAACACCTTCAAGTACTACTCCCACTTCCTCTTCAAAGGTGAGGCCCTGGCACCCGCATAGGCCCCACTGCGGGGGGGTGTGTCTGTTCCCCATGCTTGGCCGCGCCCACTGACCACCCAGCCCCACAGTGGTGACAAAGCTGGTGAACCGCGGCTACCAGCCCCACCTGGAGGACTTCTTGCTGCGCATCAACTTCAACAACTACTACCAGAACGCCTGACAGCCGGCTCGTGCTCGCTGCGCGGGAGGCAGAGACCACCCAGAAACCCTGAGGAAGCTGCAGGTTTATTGGGCCTGGGGGCTGGGCTTGTTTGCAGGGGCTTGTTCCTGCCCCTGTGACCAGGCCAGCTTGTCCACCAGAAGCCAGTGTGGCGCTGCTCACTTGTACAGGAGTGAGGTGGGAGCTTCCACGTTCCCCCTGGGGCTGTCCATCCATCCCCAAGGAGCATGTCAGCTGGGCATGCTGTGAAGTCGGCATCAGACAGAGACGGGTCAGGCCTGACTGGACGTCTCTGCCGCCATGGAGAGACAGCGTCTCGGGACACGGCAGCACAGGTGCCAGGGGCTCGGGCTGTGCCCGAGGTATTAGGAGGATCATGTCACGCACAGTTCAGCTGCCCAGGGCGGGGGCCTGCTGCTGTAGGAGCGTCGCGGGCCGACTGCGTCTGCGGCCTCCCCGGCTCCCGCAGGCTCCTCCTCCCGGCCGTAAGGGGCCTCCAGCAGCTTCAGCACCCGCCGGACCTGCAGGGCAGCAGGAGTGAGGGCTGCCCATGGCCCAGGCCAAGCACATCCCCCCGCCCCCCACCGGAACTGGGTGGGCCACGCCCCACTCGCCTCTGAGAAGTCCCCATTCTCCGCGGCCTCGATGGCAGTCTGGGCGATGTAGTTCCGCAGCACATACTTAGGGTTGGTGGCCTGCATGACCCGCACGTGCTCTGCCCGCCAGGCCTCGGTGTCCCCAGCACCTTCTGCGTCCTTCGCCAGGCGTGCACTGGACCACGGCAGGCTTGTTAGGTGCAGCTGGCGCCCTCGCCTGTGCCCCTCCCAGGCGCCCAAGGCAGGTGTGGTCTCACCTGTACTCCTGGAGCCACTGAGTCCAGAGGGTGCGGTTCCTGGCCTGCAGCTCGGCCGAGCTCAGCTGCTCCAGCTGTGAGCGCTGCTCTATGCGCTCCAGCTCGCGCGCCACACTGGCCCGACTGCCCACGAGCGCCAGCAGCTGCGGGTTCGACTGTGCCAGCATCAGCATCAGCGAGAGCTGCCTGCAGGGATGGGGCAGGAGCAGGGTCCCTCTCACCTTGGAGCAGCAGAGCCCCAGTGTGTGGAAGGTGGTGCAGGGTCACCTGGGCCCTGGAAAAGCCAAGGATGTAACACCGTGGCGTCCTAGTGGAATACCGACATCCTCCGGGGGAATTCTGAGCAATGCCAGTACGAAGGTTGCTGCTGCAGGAGCCACGGCCTGGACCCCCTCCTGGCCCAAGCCCCGGCCCACCCTCGCGCTCACCTCCCTGTGCTCCTCCAATAAACCCTTCTGTCTTCTGGCCACTGCCTGCGGGTTTTTACTGAAGACCACAAGCAGGAGCACCATCCCCACCCATTCTTGAGCTCTGCAGCACCCTGTTTTCCCATCTGGGGGGAGGGCTCTAGCCAGGACGGGAAACACAGTCACTACTCAAGGGCCCAGAGACCACCATCCGCAGACACAGGACCTGATCAACCCGCCAGGTGCCCCCCACCCGACACTGCCCAGAACACCAGCTACACTCTCATATCTATCATCTCCTAACAAACATTCCCACTCTAAAAGCTCCCTTTGAAAACGTTCCTCCCTTTCTGGAAACATCCTAATAAAGTATAACGTGCATCCTACCGGGGATCCATCTGGGGCTGCAGTGCATGCTTCAGCTCCTCCAAGGACGCACACTGCTCCAGGAGCTGGTCCAGGACGGCCGCCTGCTCCGGAGACGGGGGCCCCGCCACAAAGTCGCTCAGCAGGCGGAAGGTGTTGGTGAAGTCGGCCCCTGTGGAGCAGCCCGTCAGCAGGGCAGACAGTCCTGGCCAGAGCCAGAGGGACAGACGACTGTCCCCAGCCAGCCAGACACCCCGCCCCTCCCAGCCTGGCTGAGCCACTTGGCGCCTCACAGCCTCCAGCCTGCCCCCCGCGTCCGCAGAGGCACCACAGTCGGCACCGGCCCGTCCCGTGGCCAGCTTCAGGGTGCTCAGGTGGGCGTGCTGGCCCACCACGTCGGGCTCACCGGTCAGGTGCATGGTCTCCAGGAGCTGGGCCACCAGCGCTGGGTCCTCCTCCAGCTCCGTCCCCACGAGGCCCAGCTTCCGGCGCATCTTCTGCAGGTAATGCCGCTGGAACTCGGCGTCAAACTCCTCGGCCAGCACGGCCGTGCCCACCTCCAGGGGCAGCTCGGGCGCCAGCGCCTCTGCCAGCTTCTGCAGATTCCACTTGCACACCTCAGGCTGCCTGCCGTACGCATAGCGCCCCCCGCTGTCTGAGGCGTTGCACACATGGTCGGGGTCGTACCTGTGACGGGCCCAAAGCTGCAGCCAGGCCTCTCCCTGCGCCACCCCTCCCCCCCCCTCCCCACCCCCCCAGCCCCTCCTGGCTCACCCACCTGCCCACCCTGGCCCCTTCAGTCCACCCTCCACACGGCAGCTGAGGGACCAGCCCCCATCGAGGACGCAGACTGGCTGAGGTGTCACACACAGGCGGCAGCGACACCCCGCACCCCTTCCCCAGTCCCTCTCCGCAGCACTGTGGTCCCTCCCAGGGCGGAGGCCCCAGGTGGGCAGCTCCCCGGCAAGCAGCAGACCCCCACAGCGCCCCCCAGGAAGCACTGACCTGTCCAGGAAGCCGAAGGGCCCGTAGTCTATGGTGAGTCCCACGATGCTCATGTTGTCAGTGTTGAGCACACCGTGGCAGAAGCCCACACACTGCCACTCGGCCACCAGCCGGGCTGTGCGCCGTGCCACCTGGGCAGGACGGTGCCGTGTCCCTGGCTGGCCGCTCCCCCTGCCTCCCGCCCCAGGCCCTCGTAAGCCCAGCCTTCTGCCACCTCCCCCCCGGGAGTGGCTGCATGGCCTGAGACATCCACGCTCTCAACCAACACTCAACCGGGGAGAACTTTCAAGGATACCTTAGAAAGAAAAAGTATTTCTGACCCACGTTGGGCTGCCAGCTTCTTTCCCCTGTCCAGCCTGCGTGGCAGGGTGCTAGGGCAGGACCACGTGAGGCCCCAGCCTGCCAGCCCTGGCTCCCACCCATTGCATCTTCCCAGATGGTCAGCCGCCCTGTCGATGCACGCACGGCGGGGGTAGGGGGGGACCTGGGATAGCATCTGCCCTGCTGTGCACCAGTGGGAGAGGCAGGGGCAGGGCTGTGCCCACCCACCTCCCGGAAGAAGGCGGTGTTCCTCCTCAGGTGGTCGTCAGCGTGAGCTGCCTGGATCTCGGGGTAGAAGGAGCCGATCACATAGTCGAGCATCTGGATGCGGATGTCATTCCTCCCGACGCTGGGGCCCTCACGCCCCGTGAGCGCGTCTGCGGGCTTAAAAATCTCAAAAGACCCAAACCTGGAGGGGAGACCCAAGTTTCGACATGAAGACGTGGTCCAGCTCTATCCAGAGTCCCAGCTACCAGAGCCCACAACCCCCAACAGAAGACGAGAAAGAACAGCAATGACGTAACTCGTCTGCAGAAGACATATTTACAGACAAGACCTGCCCCCCATCACCTGCCCTGTGGGGAAGGGAAGGCAGCTTGCGGGAGGCGCCTAGTGACCAGCATCCTTTGACAGGGTGGCGACCAGGGCCAGTTCAGGAAAAGCACCAAGTCTTTGAGGCATCAGCAGTGGTTCTCAACTTGGGGGCGGGGGATGCTACTGGCACCGAGTAGGTGGGGGCAGGGGTGCTGCTCAGCTGCCAGGAGTGCACAGGACAGCCCCTCACAGACAATAATCTGCTCAGAGTGTTAATGGCGCCATGCGGAGATGCCACCGGCCTTGGAGCCATGAGGGTCTCCTAGGATGGGCTAGAGTCTTGCCTGGGGCCCCCTGGCCACCCTGGAGGAGAGGAGCTGCCAGCCCAGTCCGCAGGAGGTAGGCTGGTGACCCTGTGCTGTGGGCCGCGGTGCCCAGAGGCGGCAGGCACGCGTCTCACGTGGCTGGCGCTCTGCCTGCCCTCCTGGCGTCTCACACTGACTCCGTCTCAGTGGTACAGATGGGTCAGTGACAGGCTGCTCGGGGACAGGCGTGGCTCCCAGGAGCACCTGTGGCCGGGCGGCCGGGTGGCCGGGCGTGGATGAAACCCGAGCTGTGGTCTCAAGCATGCATGCCATCTGCATCTGCGGCTAGCGTGCGCCCCAGCTGCCCAAACGCACGTTGCCGACGATGCAATGAAGCAAGCGCGCCGCCTGAGGAACCCCGTGTTACCTTATAAAAGTGGGAGCTACGCGCAACACAACTGTGCACTTTTCACGCTTTGGATTACCATCATAGAACACATCCCTCACGACCGTGGAGGCGGATGTGACGCAGGCCCCGGCCCGTGTGGTGGGGACCCCCAGGTGGAACATGGCCTCACTGCACAGGAACTCACGGATGCTGGAGCGCAGGACCTTGCGGCCGTCGGCCTGCCTGAAACCAGACGGGGGAGTGCCTGTCAGGCTGCGGCTGGGCACCGCCGTGATGCACCCTCCACACCCCAGCGGTGGACGGATGGTGAACGTCACGCAGCCACCAGAGCACCAGATGCACGTGACTCGAGCTCGTCCCCTGCTGAGCACCCAACACCAGAGGCCGGGGTGGGGGCTAGCATAGAGCCCGGGCTGACGTCTGCACCGGGTCGCTTCAGACCCGCAGCCATGTGCACAAGCCCAGCCCACCTCCTCAGAAGGCACAGGGGACGCCCATGTGCAGGAAGAAGGCTGAGAACACGTGGACGAGCGCTCCCAGAGCTCCAAGGGCCGCAGCGCATGTCTGCAGCACAAGCCGGGGCCCAGGACACGCAGACATGGCAGACACGGGAACACAGCTGACGTGGACACGGCAGACATGTGGACACAGCAGACACGCATGGTAGACACAGACATGGAGGACACGCAGACACGCGGACACGGCAGACGTGTGGACGTGACAGACACATGGACACGGCTTCTCTGGAGTACAGTCCAACGGGAGGCAGGGGTTTCAGTTCACTCTGGACACGTGTGAACGGCTGTAGCTCTAACACGGAGTCTCTTGCTTTTGTAAATTAAAAAGAGCAGAGCGTGAGGAGAGGAGACAGCTGAGCAAGAAGCAGCAGTGCCGGCCCAGGAGAACCTCCCCCTAAACCGAGAGGCTGGACACAGGGTCCCTAGGGGCCCCACTGGAATCCAAGCAGACAGAGCGCGCCATGAGTTGGAGCCCACGAGCTGGGGGACAGCCTGGCCTTTGAGGCCCAGGCAGCGTGAAGCGCAGGGCAAGGCTGGTCTGTGAGGGTGGCGGTGTCACAGCGCACACCCAGGCAGGGAGGCACCTGCAGCCGTCTAGAAGGTTCTCTCGTAACAAATACATGGGACAAGAACGTACGTGGAGTCCACCTCAGCCCGGCCTCCTCGGCTGTGGGAAGGGCCCAGGTGAAGCCAGGGCCCCAGGCACACCTGCCGCAGGGGGAGGGGGCAGACCAGCTGATGGCGGTCATCCCGGGGTGGCTGCAGGGGCTCTGTGCGGTCACTACAGGGGCTGTGCTGGGATGTTGCCCTCCGCAGGCCAGCGCGTCCAGGGGGACACATGAGCTCCTCCTGCTCCCTTCTCGCAGGGCCTGCGAGGCCAGCTGACCACTCTGCAAGGCTTGCCCTCCCTGCTCAGCTGTGGGAACGCCACCTGAGCCGGCTCGGCTTCACACCGCCACTGAGGGAGCCAGCACAGCTGACCCAGCTAATCTGGAATCTGGTCAAACTGATCCTGAGAACAGAGCCCTCACCCAGAACAGACGCCAGAACCGAACCGGAACCCGGAGATTACAGAGCAGGGCCAGGGCCCCCGCCTCACAGCCTTGTTGGACACTCATCTCGTCTCCAGCCACTGCGGTGGAAGGACAACAGACAGAACCTACCACCCCTGGCAGATGGTTAAGAGACTTGGAAACGCTGCTGACGTTTCTCTCCAAGTCAGACTCTTGGAGGCTGGGGTGTGTACGGGTGGCAGGTGTGCATGGGGGCCCCGTGTAAACAGAGGGTGGGGCCTCGGGGGCACAGTGACCTGAGAAGGCATGAGGCCCGCTGGGGGCCCTGAGCAAGAAGCTCACACCCCAGGACGCACGTTCGGCCTGGAGAAGGGCAGGTGAGCCCTTTTTAAGGGAAAGTCTCCTAGATCTCAGGTCTGGGAACACAGGCTTAATTTTGGTTGTGGATCACTCTCACAAGTTTGTCTTTATAACCCGCAAAAAGCAGCTGAAATTATCCTCAAATTGAACCTATGTGAAAATGCTTAGGAAGCAGCACGCTCCAGGTTGAGAAGTGCTTACATCTCATTCCAAGGAACCGCCAACTCTCAGCACAGCTCCTGGAGGCCGTGCTGGCAGCCAGGAGTGAGGGACTGAGCAGGCGGGCTGAGGGTTTCCAGGGAAGGCTGGGCTCAGGGAGCTCCCGAGACTGGGGCATGAGGACAACCAGTTCTTCTGAGGCCCTTGCTTGGGAGAGGGAGTGGGTGGTGGGGCAGGAATCTCAGGAGACGGAGCTGGCTTGCGGGGAGGAGGGGGACAGGACGGCATGATTATAAGAAGGCGTCCGGTGAGAGATGAGGGTGAGCTGAGGGAGCGGCCAGAGACGGGGACTTAGGGTTTCTTTGATCCTAAAATTCCAACTTAGGTATATTTTTTGGCTGTTCAACCATCAGAGTGTGGCTGTGTGAACCATCCCGTGGAGACGAACAGAACGGACCCAGGAACTGTCTGACCCAGGACAGCGTGTGGCCCCAGGTCAGGCTGCCCACATCTGGACCCAGGCCCAGGCCCAGCTCCGGGCCACCAGCACATCCCCAAACAGGAGTCAACACCATGCCCACCTCACTGCAGGCAGGTTGAGTGCCAGCGCTTAGAGGACGCTTTATGCTTCCTGTGAGGTCACCAGCCCTGGGGCCCCTACTCCGAGGCTGGGTGCACTCCTATCCTGAACCCACGGCCAGCACGGGTAAGCAGTGTCGCTTACACACTGAACCAGCAGGCTGATTTCAAACTCCCTGAAATGTTTAGGAGAATCTTCTGGGCAGCTGCCGACGCTATGCTCCAACAGGTGGAATCAGACCCTCTGGCGGACCGAATGCCAGAGCATCCAGGCCACTCTCACTGCGGGCAGAGATCCCCTTCCAGGCCTGCAGGCCAGGGGCCTCAGGACCTTTCTTCCTTCCTCAGGGCTCAATGTGGATCACAGCCCTTGCAGAGGGGCCAGGAGGACACGAAGCGCAGAGGCTGGGCACAGTTCCCTGGCACACTCAGTGTGGGTGGAGGACCCAGTGCCAATCACACCTCCAGGCCCTGACCTCCTGCCCCCTTGCCCTGGCGACATCGACCTCGGTTGTGTTTTGCTGCCTTTACACGAGATGTTGAAGCTGCCACCTGCCACGTTCTAGCGCCTAGACAAAACTCTTCTGGAGTTACATCTCGCCTCTGTCTGCGCCTTAACTGGGGAGGAAAGCGCTGCGACGGTGTGCACGCTCCCCTCCATCCCACCGGGAGAAGGCCGCGGGCCGGCGCCGCAAGGGGCGGTCCCCGGGCCCCGCCAGTCCTCCCACCCGGAGGCGGGCGCCTCGAGGGGCGGTCCCCGGGCCCCCCCAGTCCTCCCACACGGAGGCGGGAGCCTCGAGGGGCGGCCCCCAGGTCCTGGTCCGCGGGCGCACCTGGAGAAGGGCGTGAGGCCGGCCCCCTTGAGCTGCAGCTCCCAGCGCTCGCCGGCCGCCGGGCACACCTCGCCCAGGTACATGGCGGCGCCGTCGCCCAGCTGCCCGGCGAACTGGCCGAACTGGTGGCCGCAGTAGCAGTGCGCGGCCGGCTCGGCGCCGGGCAGCAGCGCGTTGCCGCTGAAGAAGAGCGCGGCC